GCACTACCGAACATCGCCTAAGACAATGCCTTGAAGCACAGACGAGGACCAGGCACGGCAGACATCGAGATCCAACGCCTTTCGATGGTTTGGCGGAACACCTGCCGGTCTACTGCGGTCGTAGCTTCTAACTACCGCTACCAGTAAGGCTAGATGCCGCCCAGCTGGACCGTCTCTGCACCAGCTAGGCCTGTTCCTTGACTCTGAAACGCCTCTGTCCTGGCAGCGTATGTACCTCTAACACTAGCGGCTTTCTCCAGCTAACAGTCCGGTGGACCAAGGACGGCTACGGCCTGAATATATCAGGCTGGCCTCCCGTTCGCATGGTAGGCTAAGGTCCCCCTTTGCTTTATCATAGTCAGATCACGCTCTACTCATCGTAGACCTTAAAGCTATTTCATAATGTCTGCTGTCTTATTCTACAAGAGACCCGATCTGGTTTGCAAGCTGCCTGGCCCGCTGGGCCAGTCAGAATGCCAGAAGTATGTGGAGAGGACACTGAAGAAGAAGGGCAGCATACCACCAGCGCTGTCGTTCGATCGGATAGTCGCCAACAAAACATTGCCAGTATGTCGAATCACTCGAAGCCTGGTTACTCTTACTGACCTACCTACCCAGCCATGCAGCTTGATTGACTTCATGGACTATCTTCTTTACGTTTCCTTCGACGCGGAGAATCTCCAGTTCTATCTGTGGCTCCGGGCTTACACGAAGCGGTTCAACGCTCTCAAAAAGGAGGAGAAGGCACTCTCCCCCGAATGGGGCGCTGAGATTTCCGAGGAGCTTGTGAAGGTCATCAAACTCAGCCAGACTGCAGCTAACTTGGAAAGCTTGGGCTTGGTCGACAGCGACGACTCAGCAAAGGGCCCTTCGTACGCGCTCACCGAGATCGCCGGCGCACACGGATCGAGACCGGTATCAGCTGGAGGAACGGACTGTTCCTCATTTATCTCACACAAAGTATCCGCCCCCGACCTCGCTCAGGAAGCTCGCTCTCATGACAACAACACCGGTGGTCTGAACTGTCAGTTCCCCTTCACACATCCGTCCATAAGCCCTTCCACCGCTGACTATCAACAGCACCCGCGCTGCAGCCCTTCCGCGCAGAAGTTGCTAAAGCAATCGCAACCTACATCGCGCCCGATGCCCCCGCGAACTCAACATCTCCCACCGCGACCGCGAAGCCGTGCTCCAAGCCCTCCAACACACAACCCACCCCTCCGCCTTCGCGCTCGCCAGCACCCTCGTTGAAGCCACACTGCGCGGCGTGAGCCACCCCAACTTCATCCGCTGGACCATCTGCAACGGCAACAAACCGCGCGTCATCGCCGTGCGAGGCGCCTGCACCAGCAACATCGTGCTTGGACTCTTACTGGCCATCTTCCTGACGTTGTCGAGCCTGAACAGATGGTACCGCGTCCTCGCCTCCGTCTGGCTTTTCATTGGCATCAGTGGCCTCATCGCCGCCTACAAGGGCCTCTGCATGATCTTGCACACCGGCCACAAGCGCACCGTCAACCCGTGGGAGGACGTGGACAGGGGATCCATCTATACCGGCCCCGACTCTACCAAAGGGCCCGATGACGAGGAAGCAGCGTTCGCGACCTCTGACCGAGCGGCGAATCCGAAGCCGAAGTCGTTTGACTCGTTTGGCAGCTCGAACTCTTACCTTGATGAGCCGTGGGTGGATGCGGAGAAGCGGAAGCCGCTGCTGAAGAGGGTTTTTGAAAAGACGACGAGAGTCCAGGACTCGAGTCTGAAGGTGTTGCAGGATCGGATCGTGTGGCAGGCGCAGGTGTTGGGGCTGGGGATCACGATTGTGATTACGGCTGCGTTTGTTGCGCTGCCGAAGGGAGAGTTTTTCTGAGCTCTTTGACCTAGAAGCAAGCTTTCTTTATGATTATGATCGGGTATACCCCTGCTTGTCCAGTTATAGCTCGGAGTCTGGGGGTGCTCTTGCTATGGTTACACTTTGGCTCTGCTGTACTGTATAATATCTAGTGTGATATGGCTCAATCTTTGATAGTTCGTCACCACCCTATAACAAGTTACCCTCTTGCTATGTGACCGGGGTTTTCCGCTCCCCTATGCTACCGAAACTCCTTCAGAGGCCAAAAGAGCTCCCTCCCACACCGAGAAGGTCAAAAAAGCAAAACAGAATAAGTATCTCCCCCGGGTGGGCTCGAACCACCAACCTCTCGGTTTGCTGCTGGGTAACAGCCGAACGCGCTAGCCAATTGCGCCACGGAGGATTTCGCATCCCACGAGATCTGATGGTTGTTGAGGAAAAACTCAACTGCAATGATATATGATTCATCACTCGCATCAATCCTACACACGATTCACGGCTGCCTTCAGCTCGAGAACTGGACAGCAGCATGCCTGAGATATGAGCCAACCCAAGGCATCACAGTGCAGGTTCTTTGCCTGTTATGGATGCAGCAACAGCGCGGCTCGACGAGGATTCACCTTGGGTTTAAGATCTAAGCTACTTAGGAGGAAATTAAGGAGCATACAATGTATATACACAGTCTGACGTAAACATTGATCTCACTCTCAGCATCAGAGGTTGGTGGATTTCCTCAATCCTCGACTACCCGATAGCAGCAGGACAGACATAGTCGAGGCCCCTTCAATAGCCCTTTGCGAGCCCCTCTTCACATCCTGACGTGGCATACCTCGAGCAGGCAGTTCTACGTGCTTTCAATCGCTCCACTCCGCATGCTGCGTGGATGTCTCCGACAATCTAGTAGTCGACGGCGACCACAGAACACTATCCTTTTCCAAACCTAGTCCTGTATTAACATCTATCTCACTGTGCTCATGCTTCCTTTTCAGCGGGAAAGACGTTGGAAGCCTATGTTGCGGAATGTCGCGGGCGAGAACAAGGACAGCATTGTCTTATCTCAAGACCTTCAAAGACCGTACAGATTGCGGCTTTCTAGATTGCATGAACAAAGGAACCCTCTAGCTTGCTCACTCCGATTGACTCGATGCTACAATCCAACTTCCGCACTCGACACGACAATTGGATGTGATTGATAGGAAAGTAAAGGCTAGAAGATATTGACTTTGAAAACTTCAAACATGCAGCTCCTTAACATACTCATCCTCGCCAAAACAGCGGCCGCAGCCGCGCTCCCACCCCTTGCATCACCCCTCTCACCCTCGATCCAATACGCCCCTTCCCCCGCGGGCGTAGAAGCGGCCCGAGAAGCCTATCACACCACCCATAACACCACCTCCCCATCCTCCCTCCAAAAACGCGCCCCCAACGGCGCAGGCGTTTACACGTGCAACGCCACCGACTGGCAAGGAAGGTGCACCTGGCGATTCTTTGCGGTGAACAAGTGCCACGACCTGAGACCCGAGTGGAGCCAGCAGCTACGCTCTTTCGGGCCGGACCTGGCGCAGGGCTTCGCATGCGAGCTGTGGGAGCACAAGGGATGTCCGGGCGCGAATAGCTATCTTATGAATCCGGGGTCTGGGAGACTGGGGCCGGAGAGGGGGATGGCGAGGGCGGTGAGGTGTGGGTTTGTTAGTTTGACGTTTTGTAAGCCGTTTTAGGAGGGTGGGGATTAGTAGATTTGGCGCTTAGTAGATTTGGTGCTGTTTGCACTGTGTGAGGGTTTGATGAGCGGGTTCTTATAGACTATGTAACCGGCCTCCTGCACTCGGAACGGAGATTCGTTAGCCAAAGGCCTTTTCTAGCCCACAATGTAACGCCTAAAATTGTACAAGGAAAAAAAGGGGTGGTGATGCAAGTAAGCCCAGCTCCTGCATATGATACACATCCTAGGCCATGGATCAAGCGGTCGCTCTCGATACCAATGTCATCCACATGTTCCAGTGCTCTCATTCGCTAGTAGTCCCTACTCCACCGATGCCTCTACACTCCCTTTCCCCGCTTCAAGTTGAATGCCCTCTGGTCTTTCAGCCACCGCCTGTAGTCCGTTACACTGCCGATCTTTTCGCCGTAGTAGTCCGGGACGGGGTTCTGGATGGAGGAGGACGAAGGGTCGACGCGGTATTTCTTGATGCGTGCGTAAAACTCGCGCTCTTTCTGTAGAAACCCAACCGGGTTAGCATGAACAATATTGATGCAGCGCTCCGGGGAAGGAGCTCAAGATAGCCCGTCAAAGGTGCACGGCTCCATTCCTGCTGACCCCTCGAAATGAATACAACGGGTATCCACTCACCCAAGCGATATCCCTCCTCAACCCCCGATACCAAACATTAAACACCGCGTTTCCAAAGAACGGCCCAATCAGCCATCCAACAACCGTGCAAGCGATCGTGCTCATGCCCAGCACGATGATCGGATCCAGTCCCAGTATCTGGCTCCCCATAGCATCAATGTCCTTCGTAGAGAGCACCGCAATGCCGAGAAACGTGCTTGCGCCGGCGCAGATGATGGACGAGACGAGCGAGATGCGTCGGCGTGTTTTGCGGAGCGCGAGGAAGCGGTTCCAGGTTAGGCTGTGTTCGTTCGCTGGAGGTGCGGCCGCGGCTGCGGAGGTCGGGTCGGAGATTGTGGAGGCATGGCGGGGGAGGTGGTGATACTGAGTGACTGAATGGCTGGTTGAGAGATTGTCCTACTGACGAGGGAAGGGCGCTGCTTAGATAGAGACGGCGCCCGTGGTGCTGCGGTTTGGAACGGTCTGGCGACGGCAGTGTGGAAAGGGCATTGCGTTGCTGATGGTAGTGGTGCGCGTAGTAGAGGCTGAGCTTGTCTGCTGAGCACCCTCGCAGTGCGGAGCGGTAGCGTTGTCTGGAACATGTTGGGGCGCGTGTTGTCTTGATGGTGATGTATGGAGATGTCGGGTGTTGCAATTGCTCGACTTGAGCTTGGCAGAGAGCTCGGGCTTCTGAAGCCGAGAGGGAACGTCACATCCACTCCAAGCTCTGAGATGAAACGACACCTCATTTATAAATTCATTCATAAATTGCTGGCTCCAAATCCAACGGCAAATCCCGCTTCGAAAATGAAGCACTTCAAGTCCTCCGTGGCGCAATTGGCTAGCGCGTTCGGCTGTTACCCAGCAGCAGCAGCAAACCGAGAGGTTGGTGGTTCGAGCCCACCCGGGGAGTTTATACTTTTTGCATTTACCTTTGATGCATAGGTTGTCGGTTGTGGTTGTTCTTTTGCTCTGTACCATAAGGAATATCTATTTTGGCTGAAAAGAAACTCAAGAACCGTCCCTGGTTCACGGGAAATCCTCCGACGGCGGAAAGCTTGACCAGCAGTTCGCGCAGATCAGCCCCACGTGTGCCTGACAGCCTTTAAAATTAATCCCCATTACTCTCATGTCATGGCCTTCAACCCTCAACAGATCGGACGTAGATATCTCGTGCTCTTTTATTACGCTGTAGCTCGCGCTGGTGCAGAACGCCCAATACCTCTGCGATCTTTTATTCGCCTGGGATACCAGGTTTTCCAACCCGAGGGGATACTGTGGAAAGCCATTGATCGCGAGGAAGCAGTTCAGCGCGAGCGGTAACCGGCGCAATCATGGATTTGGTAAACCAGTAAGCTGTGCGTGCTACTTTCAGCAGCCCACAATTGCTAATTCCAGCTCTGCGCAGCCTCAGCGACCGGCTGCTCTTCGCCGTCCCCAAAAGTACGTCCTCCTCCTGACCACGCAGTCGAGTCCTCCACACCCCAAGCTTCGCAATGGCTCACTGCTGACCCAAGGCTACAGAGGGCCGCCTCCACTCCGCAACCCTCGACCTCCTTTCCGGCAGCGACATCCAGTTCCACCGACACTCGCGCCTCGACATCGCGCTCGTCAAGAACCTCCCCATCGCGCTCGTCTTCCTGCCCGCAGCCGACATCCCCACATTCGTCGGTGAAGGTCGCGTTGATCTGGGCATCACAGGGCGCGACCAGGTGGCCGAGCATGAGGCCGTGACGCCGCCCACAGCCACGACGGGCGTGGAGATGGTTATGGATCTGGGGTTTGGGGGTGCAAGCTGCAGGTGCAGGTTCCGGAGAAGGGAGAGGTGCAGAGGCCCGAGCAGTTGATTGGGAGGAACGTGTGTACGAGCTTTGTGAATCTGGCGGAGGCGTACTTTAGGGGGTTGGAGGAGGAGGAGGGGAAGGGGAGGTTAATGGAAATGGGGAGGGGGAAAGAGGAGGCTGAGGACGAATATCAAGTATGTGGGCGGTAGTGTTGAGGCTGCGTGTGCATTGGGTGTTGCGGATGGGATTGTGGATCTTGTTGGTAGGTTTCATGCTTCCTCTTTGCTGAAGACCGAGTGCTAATGGTGATGCGATGCAGAATCAGGGAAACCATGCGCGCTGCAGGCCTCAAAGCTATCTCCACGGTCGTCGAAAGTACCGCCATCCTCATCAAGTCCAAGCACCCAAGCGATCCGAAGATGGTCGACTTGATTGCCTCAAGGATACGAGGCGTGATCAGTAAGTTCGCTTTCGATCTCATGGATTTGAGCTTCACTCGTGTTTCACCGCCCTGTTTTAATCTCAGAGCCGGGTTTCCTGACACGCTTCTGAACACTTACTTCTCTTCAAATCTCTTCCACACACACTGATAAACGACCCCAGCCGCACAGAAATACGTCCTCTGCACCTACAACGTCGAGCGCCACAAGCTCGAAGCGGCCTGTCGCATCACACCCGGCAAGCGGGCCCCAACGATCAACAGCCTCGAGGAAGACGGCTGGGTCGCCGTCAGCGCAATGGTGGAGCGGAAACGCATCGCGTTGGTGATGGATGAGCTTGAATCGGTTGGCGCGTCTGATATCCTAGTCACGCGGCTCGAGAATTCGAGAACGAACGGCGTGTAATGAGAAAAGTGCTTCAATTTATAGAGGTTATGGCGGCGTTCGGGATCGGAGGAGGGAATATTCATAGTCTGTGGATGGCTGAAAGCAGGTGTCGCTGAAGTGGGATTGCGGACATATGAGATGATTGTTCCTGGTGCTGAGGTGGTCTATGAGCCTCGATATGGGTTATCAGGACATGTAGATTTCCTTGAACTTTCAAGACTGAAAAACAGCATGTACGCATGCGAGATATGGATCAGATCCCTTGAGTTGTTGCTCGGAGCATGAAGCATTGAAATACCTCACGTTTGGTGATACAAATTTTTATACATGCCTCAGTGCCCTCTATGCGAGTCCAACATGCCCAAGTTTACAAGGCTTTCCGAACTATGCTCTGTACAGATCTGACACCTGCGAACCTTCTCTGGTCAACACGCTGTCAGATATCCCCTACGCCCCTCGCATCATGCGCACCCTCCGCCTCTACACCCTCAACCTCACAGCCGCCCTCTCTAACTCCCCAACAATACCCTGCCCAGCAAGCGACCACTTCTCGCTAACAAACCCCTCGGTCACGGTGTTCCTCAGCATCCCACTGGCGGCGTAGTATTCCATGACTCCCTCGCCTCTTCCCTGCTCAGCCCCTTAAGTCTCAAAACCTCAACACCATCGAGGGCCTTGATGACCCTCTCATCACCCTTCACGTACGGGTTCCAGTGCTTCAGACTCCGCAGCTGATGCTCCAGGAAACTCTCCGGCTGTCTCCTTCGCGGCTTGCTGGTCTCGCCCTCGGCACCTTGCGCGATCTCAGTGCCCCGTGCGGCATCAGCCTGTCTCGTCTCCGCGGCCGCCAACGCGTGCTCCAGCGCCGGCGTTCTCGGCTGGTTACTCTCGCTCACAGCCGCCATGACCACGCCGCCGTTGCTCAACTCCCGCCGCCCGCTCAGGTACTCCACGAAGTGGTTCACGAGCGCCAGATCGTGCGCGTGTATCGGCTTCATGTCCGGCGCGAGATACGCAGACAATCGCATCACATGCGCGAGGCCGTCTAGAGCCATGAAAATAGGTGGACGGCCGGGTGCTGTGAGTTCTTTCCACAGGGCTTGGAAGATGGGCCACGAGATGTCGGGGTCGCGGGCGCCGAGCTCGCAGAGGCGGTCGAGGGTTAGGTTGCGTTGGAGGGGCATGGGGAGGTCGTGCGATTGGGTGATTTGGAGGGTGGAGAGGATGGAGTTGTTGGCTTTGGAGATCTGGGAGAGGAGATTTGCGGTGTAGGTGCGCTGGGCGTATTGGGTTGGGGTCGTGTTGGGGATGGGGGAGTAGGCGGTGTGGCCGATTGTGAGATCTTTGGCTGTGGGTGGGTGTTAGCTAGAACTCTCATGTAGACTCCCAAAGAGGAACGTAGAGAACGACTAAAGAGCCCGGAAAAGTCCAGTATCAGACGAGGAAGAGAACCATCATACCTTCTGGGAAATTGACAACAACCCATCCCCTCATAAACGCCCCTGCCAGCCCCTGCAACAGCAGCACACTCTTCCCAGAGTTCCTCTCCCCACAAAGCACCAACCTCCTCGTCTTCTTTTCTTCCCCCGCCTCCGCAACTACCCGCCCAATCTCCACCGTCTCCTTCCTCACCAAGCAAGCCGGCCGCCGAAACAACCCCCACCCCTGATGCACCTTGAACGCCTCCACAGCCCTCAGACTATCCACAACCTGTCCCGGCAACCCCACCACCTTCCCCACCATCGCCTCATCCACCAAGCTGTCGAGTGTAGCGTCCCGCAAGCCAGCGACCTCCAGCGCGTTGGTATTGGACAAGACAATGCGCTTGCGGAGCGCTTTTCGCTCCCCTGGCGCCGGCGGACGCGCTGTGGACTGTCTCACAGTCTTCTTGATTCTGAGCGCTTTCGTGCCGCGGGCTGGAGGGCCGCCGAAGGTGACGCCCTTCTTTTTGGCGGGCGCGGGCATGCATTGGCTCGCGCTGGCGGAGAAGGGCGCGGCGTGTCGTATGCTTGTGGAGGTGTGCGGCGCGATTGGGGCGGCGAGGAGGGAGGAAGGGGGTTGCGAGAGGCGGAGGAGACAACGGGATGGCGGCATGCTGGGCGTCGGGGGCCAGAGACTGGCAATGAATGAAGCTGTAGGCTTAAGTGATGGACTGGGATCCAAACAGATGTTCGGAGGTTTCGAGCTTCGGGGTTTCTCCGGCATGCCTCGAAAAAGTTCGGCGACTGCGGGAGAGACATCATATGAAATATCACGAAGCGTGTTCTTGACATATACAAGCCAAACTACTGAGGAAGATCCGCTTGAATCTACCTGAGCAGCACGACAGACCATGGACACCTCCACCGCCCCGCAAGCCGACCTCAGCATGACCGACGAAGCCCTCATCGCCGCCGAAGACGCTCCCTCCACGACGGTAGAAGCGCTGATGACAGATACCGCAAATCCAGACGCCCTCGAGCCGCACTCTAAATCTGTCGCCAATAACCACATAAAATCCTCCCAGCCAATGTCCTCCTACCAAACCGCACCAGAAACACACGACGAGGACGCCGACATGGTAGACGCAGCCGAAGAGGACGACACGCCCGATGGCGGCGTAAAACTGCCCGCCGAGTCAACCGAGCCCTCTATGAACGGCGATGCCGGCGACAAACGACCGTACGCCACGTCCTCCGCCCATCCATGGCCGCCCATCTCAGGCTAATACTCACTTGACAGCTCCATCCACGTCACAAAGCCCACCCCCTACACCTTCGACCTAGGCCACCTCCTCTGCATCGACCCCAATCCCCTCCCCCTCACCCCACCGAAGCGATCCTCGCGGCAACCGCACGCGACTGTGCCCAGGCGCTCATAAACCAGCTGCTAACCACCTGCGCCATCACCTCGACGGCCGAGGGCGTGCATCTCAACCTCCCGGCGCCCGAGACGCGGCTGCCGAGGGAGAAAGCTGTCCCGGCGGAGAAGGAGCCGACGAAGTGGGAGAAGTTTGCGCAGAAGAAGGGCATCAAGGATAAGAAGAAGGAGGAAACTCGTCTACGACGAAGCTAGCGGGGAATGGGTGAGTCATACCTGGTGTCTGCGCTTGCGGGTGTAAAGGATTAGACGCGGGGCCGAAATGCTAACGGAGCTATAGGTACCGAAGTGGGGGTACAAGGGCAAGAACAAGGAGGGTGAGAATGACTGGCTGGTCGAAGTTGACGATAAGAAAGAGAGGGATACGGGCGAGGCTGGTGATGCGAGGAAGGCGGGCAGAGAGGAGAGGAAAGAGAGGGTCAAGAGGAATGAGCGGAAGCAGA